TAATCTAAACAAACGTCGATATTGAAATTAATATATAATAACAAATTCGTTACAGTATTTGTAGACCTCGATAAGTCGTGAAACTCCATAGCAGTTGTATAATGCCAATTTTTTATTAGGAAATTACGCACAGGTAATGTGTTGTTTGTGTGAAATACTTTGGAAACAACAAAACCTAATTTGAAATCGAAGCCAGTCGTTATGTGATGACAACGAAATTGTGCCATCGTGTAGCATACTCGTTGCATTAAGAAGTTTGACATAGCAAAAAAACAGGCAAGATGATCCTGAATGGAAAAGACAACATACAATTCGGACTCCTTGGATAAAAGCGTTTCTAACATTATGAGATTTGTAGCGTTTGATCTAAAAGTTTGCAAGAAAAGTTTGTTTTTGAATTTCGCGCAAAGTTACACGAGGGCCATCTGCGCTAGCCGTCCCTAATTTAGCAGTGTAAGACTAGAAGGAAGGCAGCTAGTCATCACCACCCACCGCCAACTCTTTGGCTACTCTTTTACCAACGAATAGTGGGATTGACCGTCACATTATAACGCCCCCACGGCTAAAAGGGCGAGCATGTTTGATGGTACGGGGATTCGAACGCGCGATCCTCAGATTGCGAGTCGAGCGCCCTAACCACCTGGCCATGCCGGGCCAACATGCAAGAAAATATCCGGACAGACAAACTCAAGCGCATTATATATATAGATTTCTGCAATATTACAAATTCCAATTATAATTTAATTGTTTTCTGCAATGTGGTTAGGTAACCTACAAACCTATTAAAGGCTTGTCAGTACATAACGCATCTGCCCCCCAGTAGCACAGATAGCCTATTGTGTGACTTTATGTTTAACTTCAAACAACAACATAACACATCTAAATTTACTCGTAACAAATAAAGCAGATTTAGTTATGGTAATTTAATGCTCACTAAGATGTGTTTTTTGTTGAATTTCGCGAGCAAGTACTAACGGCTATCTACGCTAGCCGTCCCTAATTTTGAAGTGATAGACTAGAACGAAAATAGCTAATCAATAGCACTCACTGCGAAATTTTGGGCTACTCTTGTCAGATCAAATAATGGGATTTGATCGTCAATCTTATAACGCAACCACTGCCATAAAGTGTAGAACGCGATTTTTTTTTCTTTGAGGTAAAGAGAGACAGAACCTTGGTACACAGACCGGCACGCTAACCACTGAGCTGCGCACAGGTCACAAATATGTGAATTGTAAACTGTGCTATTGAATACAGTTAAGAAAAATTTGAAACACTGTGTGGAAAATTAGCAATTTGGTTTGTAGTGAATTGAAACAAAAACACTAGCAAACTATTAAAAAACTCTGTTATCATTCGTAAATTCCTCCCAGTGACACAACGGTATGTATGCAGACGTGCAAAGCTAGAAACCGGGTTTCGATACTCGTAGTGGGTAGCGCACAGATAGCCCATTGTGTAACTTTGTTTTTAACTACAAACAAAATCATTCGTAAATGTGTAAGTGTAGATGATAAACAAAAATGAGAAAATTGTTTTGTTGCAATTTTTGTATGGTTAAGAACGTTTCAAAAATAATATATTTATAGAAAACAAATATTTTGGCATTTTTTATTGTTGTTTTTTCACAATTTTTTGTGAAAAACTACTATGTAAAAGGCTATCTTTGATCTAAGCTAGTTTCAAAACTTAGTTAATTCTCATTACGATTCTTCAGCATGTACAAATTTCCCTTTAATCAAAGTCTACCTACTTAATCAAAAACATTTATGCCTGTTGGCACTGTACTTATCTTTAATTTTTATATTACAAAGTATTCTAATGCACATACACCTCTTTACAAAAGTACACGATTCTTATATATACAGTCTTGGCCAAAAATGTTTGCATATTTTGTAACAAATAAGATCATTATTATTAAGATGGAATACAAATACATTTAGCACTGTCGAACTGAGAAACACATGATATGTTACATATCTACGTATATAACTTGTATAATGAGACAGGTTCTATGGACATCATGAACGATTGATTAGAACAGCAAATAATTTTATCAGACACCCGTAGAAAGATGTGTAATTCAGCATTTCATCTATTACAATAAAACCTTACCAAAACTTATATAATGACATAATATAACACCAAATTATTATATATGGTGTCTGTAACCTTATATCACTTCATATTAAACATTCATTTGGTTGGTCCTCCTCGTACTCTAATAACCTCAGCAAGGCAAAGTGACATACTGTCGATGAGGTTATTGATGTAATCTACAGTGATTTAATCCCAACTTGTCACTAGAAGACGCCACACCTCAGCTACAGTAGTTGATTTAGGGTCGTGGTTAGCAATTTTCCAGTTCAGTTCTGCCCAACAGTTCTCACTGGGATTACAGTCTGGATACTTTGCTGGCCATGGCAACCTTGTAACATCCTCCTGGTCGAGATAATCCTGTACAATACACTCACTAGCCAAACCTTGCTCTATCATGTGGCAGAAATATCATATCCATGCAATGACTGTAGGAGGTGCCACTGACGTTTTCCTGGAGGATATGAAGAGCAGTTTTTCCACCATGATGAATAGCTGGTCAAACATATACTGCGCCACCTTCTGTGTGTTCCCTATGGGAAAGGCAGACTTCCTTCATCTGTTCTCCAGGCAAACAAAAAACACATAAGTTTTAACAAGCCGGAAACAGAATTCATCTGAAAAGATGACATTTCACCAGTGTCCTAACTGTAAGTTGATATGCTGTCTTACCCAAGTAACACAGTGACGGCAGTGAATTCTGGTTAATATCGGTCTGTAGATAGACCTCCTTAATTGTTTGGTCAGTCTCCTATCCACTGTTCTTCTGAATACCCTGAACTGAATGTGTTTATGCCATTTCTTTTGTAAAGTGTTGCAAAAGTTCTGTCAACTTTGACGTGTTAACTTAATCAAAACACGGGCATCTCATGCAGTACTTTTTCGGCGTCTGCCAGTTGACTTTCCTAGAACAACGTTTTCTGTAGTCCGATGACGTTTCAGGATTTTAGATACGGTACACTGGGGGTACTCTACTGTTCTGGAAATGTCCTCATACCATTTATAAACAACCAAATAATTTGACGCCCTATAACTTCTGGCACGTGACGAGGCATGACTCTACACCAAGTACAGACAAATTGTCTGAACAAAGCTTTGATCTGTTTCGAAAAAGATTATACCAAAAGCACACCCTTTTATACAAAACAGGCGTGTATGTGTGTATAACTACTTCATACATGTAGACAATAATGTCAATATATAGAACAGTATGCAAACATTTTGTCAAGACTCTTAAAAGTACAACGGTGCACTAATCTAAGTTATATGAGCATTTTAATAAAACAGAAAGAAAACCATACTTTGGAGCCCAGGGAGACCTCACGCTTGGTGCATATCAGTACATTAACTTACTTTGTTTCATTCGTCTGGAATTGAGTAGATCCTTTTACCAAAGATGGGGTTTTGATAGAATGACGTACCTTATTATAGCCCCAGGTCTCTTCTCGGAAACTAGACACTGCAAGATTGGCAGTTGATCTTCAAAAATGGGCACATAAGTACTATGTAAGTAATTCTGAGGTTAATAACAGGGAGTGAAGTATAGCGGATGGCACGTTATTAAGACATTAGTGCACCAACTAGCTGCGAAAGTTCAGCTTTCACCAGTTACCGCTAGTCCTTGTCATTAAGGGACTGTCTAAATATTGAATATTATTACCAACTTCATGTAGTTATAATTGACATATTAACTTCTGGAACGTATATCGAAATACATATATGTACTGCACATAGTTATAGTTAATTATTATACCGAATAATTTTATTTAAAATTATTGGCACTTAAAGGTTTCAATGGAAATTGTTAGTTATCGCTACACTGGGTGGCACGGTACAATCTATTTAGAATTACCTGATGATGACAAAACCTTGTCGAAACGTTGTACATTTGCTGTTATGTTAAACTTATATTAAAGTTGTTCTTCATTACCCATTCAAGCCGTCTCCAACCACTATTTAGAATTACTTTGTAAAAAATTTTTCAACACATTTTAAAATTTATTTCGAATTGTTGTTATTTAAAGTAGTACTTTCCTTTTGTTTTGTTTTATGCACCATCATTCTATGATATTGAAGAGGCCGCTGTCTGAATCAATGTAATAATTATAACTAACCGACTCCTTGACGGTAGAGTTACGGGTGGACTGCTGTTCTTCAAGATCAAAGCTACCGAAACATCGAAGCCCCTAACGACAAGCGAGTGGGATTGTACTATTCGACGGGTATATATTTTTTTCTTTTTTCTTGATGGATGAACCGCGGCGGATCCAAGTCTCGCTGGAGGAATAATATATCCAGGCCGAAGAAGCCTTAGCAGTGAAATTTACGAGACTAACAGAAACTGCGTATTAAATCTTTCCACTCAATCTTTCTCTGCCACCTCCATCTCAAAGTAAAATACTGGCGTGATTAGTGTTCTTTAAAATATAAGTTTATTTCGTTGTTTACATTTTTATATGGTATGGGATTTAAAGCTTTGAACATCAGATGAGTGTATATTTTTAGGCTGTTTGAAGTTTAATGTAATAAATGATTGTTTAACTCGTTTATTTGCCTAGCTTCTTAGCTCATATTAAACCAGATTCGCAAATCACAGTTGAAATGAATAAGGAAAGTTTTAGAAATAACAATACAAGAAAAATATTTACTTAATATTTCCATTAAGACTTGAGGGAACCGTTCCTGTTTATCCTACACGCTTCGGTTGTCAGTGCGGAAAGATATGCAGTTATTTAATTATTGATTGAATGTAATTTGGTGATTTGTGATTTATAAGCCGTTTTAACTTGTAGAATGCCATTTTATAATTTTTATATTACATAAATAATAGTCCCCGGTGGGTCAGCAGTAAGTTTATGGAGTTGCAATGCTAAAATCCGGGGCTCGACCCCGCGGTGGACAGAGCACAGGTAAGCCATTATGTAGTTGTGCGCTAAAACAACAGGCAACACCGTTTCAAAACACTAATGCCCTCTGGTGTTAGGTGTGACACAACCAATGAAGACTAATTTCAAGGTTAAATGGAATTCATATTGTTTTAGTGTATCCTAATAAAGCTGCCTACATAGTAAAGAACCAGATAATTAATTATCCACACAGCCTAGTAGCTCGAACAAAATAATTCCATAAATCTAAAAAGGTCAACAGAGAGGACTCGATAGATCGGAATGTATTTTATGATACAAGTCACACCATGTGTTTGAGGCCTTTAGTCAATCCATGTGTGTTTATTTCTGTCTGGCATAGCTTGTGGTTAGTTCGCTCGACTTGCCATTGGTGGGTCGAAAGTTCGAACCCCATCATTAAACATGTTCGATCTTTCAACAACCAAACGATCAAATCGTTTGGTTTTAAAAAGTTGCGTGGAAATTATCAAATTAATGACATGAGAAACCTAATGGTTGTTTTTTGTTTAAAATTACACTGGGCTATCTGCGCTGGTCCACCTCAGATATCGAACCCTGAATTTTTGCCTTAATCTTCCCCTGATACACTGGCGGGGAGGCGCTTGTTTTTGATTTGCAATACATTATTCAGGCTTTTGAACATGTTTTTGTCCTCATTGGCTTTTTTTTGCTAGTTATTTGCCATTCTTATGAAATATAATTACTCGTCTTTCTTTCTAAACTTAAGTTTTTTTATCAACTTGGATACAACAACACCGTTTATTTTCGCTCACTGTTTTTGATTTGTTTTTCTAATTTGCTACTTTGTCTTAATTTTGTTTGTTTCGGATATTCGTGAAAAGCCTTACAAGGCCATCTGCTCTTATTAGTCTTTTTTGTCCATCTCTCATGTCTGTCTTTCATTTCTTTTCAGTATTTTACTTTATATCACTCTGATAGTGCTGCAGGTGTCTATAATATTTTCTCTCATTTTGAACATGTTTCATTCTACAGGTAGTACTTAACACGTCTCGTATAGTCCTTTTTTATGTTTTTTCAATTTTTATATATTCCTGTCCAAATCTTTAAAATTCTTGTTTAGTCTTTCACATCATTATGATTATTTTACAATTTATTAATACTGTTATTGCTTTTCAGACCTTTTGTAAATATTTCAGTTCATTTAATTTTTATTTTACAAATCTTCTTTTATTTCATAATCATTTTCATATCCATTTTTTACTTTATTCTTTTACATTTTAGGCGTTCGACTAGTAATCTGCGTGTTGCGAGATCGGAACCCTAAGCTGAACATGCTTCCCCTTTCAGCCGTGGTAGCGCTATCATGTCACGGTCAATCCCATGTTTTTTTAAAGAGTAGCCCAAGAATAGCGGTTTGATTTAAATAGATATCTGCCTTTCTTCTAGTGTATGACTTGAAAATTAGGAACGGCTAGTGCAGATAGCTCTCGTGTAGCTTTGCGCAAAAGTTCAAGAAAAACTTTTGTCGTTCTTTTTACGTCCTTTCGATTCATCTTAAGCTTTTTTTTTACTCGTTATCAGTCATTTTTGTATTACAATTTACAACATTTCAATTACTCGATACTTGTTTGTCCCAAGAGTAAGTTTGAGGGTTTATAACGCTAAAGACTGGGTTTAAGTACCAGTGGTGGGCACAACACAGATAGCCCATTGCTTAGCTTTGTGCATGTTTAACTACTAACAAACAAACAAACCCAAGGGAATTATATCGGGAACGTCTTTGGTTAAATTTTCCAAACCTGAACACATCTATTAATTTATATGTAACATTAACTCCTTTCCGGTGACTCAGAAGTTAACTTTAGGTCTTTTGGTGGTAGCATTACGAGGCTAGTTCCCACAGCGCAGTTAGCCCATTCTGTAAATGTGCGCTAAACTATAATATCACCGACGATGCAGATGGATATTAAAATAGATTACAGTAAACTATGAGATATACTGTATTTTGTACATCTTCTAAAAAATGTTATCAGCATAAAATTCCCGATTTGGTGACCCTTTATTTTAATATTTTTCTTTGTTTGGTTTCTTTTAGATTTGTTTGGAAATTAATATGTCAGTTTTTAGACATATTTTTAGTTATCTAAAAATTAATAGTAAGTATAGGGTTAGGAGTATATATAGATTTGGGTAAAAATGAGAAAATTAATATATATATAATATAATAAGATTAAAATATATACTAATATATATACTGTATTTGAATTTTTTGCGCTTACAGTTCGAATGATAACAGATGGCGATTGACATGGTCACCTTACGTGGCATGATTAGCCCTACTTTATACTTTATTTGTTATTGTTTCAAAGTAATGTCGAAAACAGGTTTACATGATATGCGCAGGCGAAGATTGTGGTTTCCTCAGTAATATTTGTTTGTTTGTTTTGTTACTGTTTTTTGTTCGCCGCACTCACGAAGTATAGTTATAAAACAAACTTTTCTCTTTGACAGCTTCTGCCCGTTGCTTAGCGCAGAGAGATATGGCTGAATTTCAGTTTAAGCAGGACCAATCCGCTGTCTTTAAACCACAGTGTAAGGAAGATGGTTCCTTCATGGAAGTTCAATGTCATCAATTATCTGGATACTGTTGGTGTGTGGATGACCACGGAAAGCCTCTTTCTGGGTCCTCTGTCAAATATGGACATCCAAAGTGTAACATTTCTGGTAAGAGATGAAGACACACAGAACTTGGTCCTGTTGTACATATAGTCTATTAAACTTTCGAGAATTAAGTAAAACCATAGCACTTAACAATAATTTAGCACCTAAAGTATAGTATACTTCTTCAATCTCTAGTACTTCATCAAATAAATTTATTCTTTATACAGTCCATGAAATAAATACCTATAAAAAGGTATGCAGAGCAAGCAGAGATTAGTAGGCCGTAAATATGCAAATTAAATACATATAACTATATTTCATTCAAGGCCAAAATAAAATAGTTAGGAATATTCCGGGTCTCTATTTCCATGTTCTGTAAGTTTCCTATTTTGATTTCTGCTAAGACAAGACCACAGCTATCAAGCGTGGGAAGCACTCAGAGTTTATGTGTGAAGCACTCAGAGTTTATGTGTGAAGCACTCTGTAAGCCATGACACACTCTACATAGCAAATTTCGTCTTTCATAACGAATTGTAATTTATTCTATGTCATGTGGTATATTGTGTTAATTTTAGTTTTCGTGTTAGAGTAACCTCTGTGTAAGATAACCTAACTACTATCTCCTTTAATTAATATACTCACTCATCAGACTTGTGTTACAGTTTGTGAAGGGACCGGGCATGGTCTAGTAGTTAACATATTTAGTTGCGGATAGAAGGACCCAGAGTTCGAGACGTGGTGCCGTTAAATATTCTCCTCAAATTCTTCCAGCTTTCGGCGCGTTTTAAATATGATCCATTATCATTATTCGATTAGAAAGCGGGACAGAGCCTTGTGACGGTGTGTATTGCTGGCTATCTCCCTTCACTCTGGTCAGTATTTCAAAATTAAGGACAGTTATACCAGAGCCCTAGGGTTCTCTGACCTGGTCGTTCAGCCATGGATGCACACGGTACAAGAATTAAATGCCACTTTCAAACTTTGTATATCAGTGTTGGGTTTTCGGTATAGTTAAAAAATTTCGAACTTTAAACAACAAAATGCAAACTTATACTAGTGTATTTACAGTCTTAATCAAAACGATTGTACCAGTTTTCTTCGAAGCCAAACGATTTAAGTTAAAAGTCGTAAATTTATTTTCACGTAACACGTTAACAGTTTTAGAATAAGACAGTATTGCTAAATGTTTCTGTGCTACCTAACAAATTTAATTATAAGTGACACGTTCGTGCAAACTGTGGAGTTATAAACTTATTAGGAGTTCGATAAAAATGCGTGGAGGTACTAAACGATAAATTTGAAAACATAGAATTATTCGTTGAATTTATTTGATATTGCAGAAGTGCGAAAAAAAAAAAGAAAAAGGATCCTTGATACGCGTTACGAAGAAATACAATATATTTTGCACATTTTTGACCGAGTTGAAACCAGAAAATTGATGCTCAAATATTATTCTTTTCCTCTCAGGCAGACGTACTAATCGTCGTCGCTCATTTCAAGAAAGACGCCACAGAAGAGGTAAGAAACAAAACAGTGTATATTTTCTCTAATATTGGCATACTATTCTACGACGTTATCGTAATGCTCGATCTTTTACTATTGCTGCAGTGTATTTTACAAAATATCAATAAATTTTCTCACCTTATTTATGTTGTTTGGTTAGTATAGTTTGTTTGTTTTATAATTGTGCGCAAAGCTAAGCAAGGGATGTTGATAGTAGCCTTCCTAATTTTGAACAAATAGACTAGAGGGAGAGCAACTAGTCAACAGTACCTACCACGATGTTTTGTGGGACTACTCTTGCCTGATCGAAAAATAGGATTTTACTGCCACTCTGACAGCGCCTCGAAGTGCAGAATGTGGGCACTGGTCGCGCGAACCATAAATCTCCAGGTTCATAGACCAGCCAAGCTAACTACTAGGCCATACGCGACTTTGTTAATATGGATCAACACAAAATACACAAAGATATTACAGAAGAAAAAAACCTTGAAATTCTTGGAAAAAAATGACTGTCACAATTAATTTCGGCATTAACCTCACGTCAGATGAAAAAATCGGCACTGGAAAGGGAAATAAACAAATATTCTATGGGTTTTAGGGCTCTTTCTTTGTATTGTTATGAACACTCTCAAAAGCTTACTAAAAGCTTGAAAAACAAAATATATATGTCTATCAACTTTACCACCTTTTCACAGAATTGTTTGTGTCATTAATAGGCTTATCCCCATATTTGTAGTGTGTGCCTAATTTGCGAAAGCTACACAGTATGAAAATTCTGTGCCCCCTTCTGTGATTAAACAGAAAGCTTGAGGACTTTGAACATCAAAGTTTAGGTCTCGATCTCCGCAGTGGGCACCCTGCAGCTAGCCTATTGTGTTGCTTTTGAGCGTAAACCAACCAAACAAATAAACATAAGATCTGTTAAGAAAACAATTCGTAGCTTAACCGTTAAAAACTGGATAAGGGAATTCAATTATTTTAGCGAACGTTTTTTTACGAAATGTAAGACTATATATAATATTTAATATTTTCAATAGTTGACTGAAGAAGAATAGTCAACTATTCGAAAGAGCTCGAGTTTTGGGTCTCGTTTTGAAAATATTACAACTTTTGTAGGTGATCCTGTGTGCTATCTACTTAACCTGGATTTATACTATTTAATAGTTGCACTTTGATATATAATTTTACTAACAAAGTTAGGTTAAAACACCATAGTAGTTAACGGGCCCGTTGGGCACCTAAAGGATATCACCTCAGTGAAAGGGTCGCCAGATGATTGGATATCAAAGAATGCAGCCTGAGGTTTACATAACTATTATGTAACATGCAAATTATACCAACATCTGAGAGTTACATAATCGTTATATGATAGGCGCCAGATGGCGCTGCTGTTTATGGGAAGGGTGATATCATAGTTGATACCAGAGGGCTTGCTACTATAGGTGGATGCTTTTACCAAGTTTCTATAGGTGGGTGGTGTTACTAAGGTTCTATAGGCATATTATCTGTGTTTTACAAAGGCGGTTGGTATTTCTATAGGTGGAAATAGTTGCTATCGTCCCATAGGATTGCATACATATTTCAACTTATCTCAACTTATGTTTATAGTTTTCATTTATATATTACATGTATTTAACAAAGGTGGATGGTGTTATTAGCTGAATTGTGCTATTACGTTTTTGTAGATGAATGGAAAATTGTGTTACTAAGCTTAGTGTTGCTTGGGCGGATGGTATTTCTATAAAGGTTCAATAGAATGATGGTCTCATAGTAGGGTGTCTCAAGATTTGATTACATGATCAATCTCTAGATTTTAATTATGTGTTCTTAAAAGTAAAACCATTATTTAAACGAGACAATTATTATTGTGTATGTCGGTTTTATCATACATACTATCTTAATATATCCATTATTTAAATGAGGCAGGTATTATAAACAATAATTTACAGTACTGTGCAAAAGTGTCAGGACAAAGTCAAAAATTTGATTTCCGGCGACTGTCAAAGAACAATGGAAGGTAAGTCACAGGTGAAGCATCAAAATTTTATTAATCTTCATATTTAGTACAATAGAAATTCAGTGGAAGTGTTTGAGTTCAGCAAACACTTTATATTTTGTGTGTCCCCTTTTGCTTTATTAACTGCAGACAGTCTTTTAAGCATCGTTGCAATATATTTAATCGAAGTGTCTTTTGGGATTTTACTCCAAGTGTCTCTAATACACTCTCATAAAGTTTTTTGGAAGTAACTTTTGATTTGTCAAGTTTTTGATCTATCAAATCCCAGATCTTCTCAATTGGGTTGAGATCGGGGCTCTGTGGGGGCCATTGCATCATTTGAATGACTCCAGCAGCTTCTTTCTTAGGTAAGTAATTTCTGCATAAGTTGGATGAATGTTTGAGGTCATTATTTTCTTGGTAGTAGAATCCTTTACTAATAATATGCAAACCATTGGGTTTACCATGACGGATCAATATTTGATGGTACTTGCGCTGATCCATTATTCCATTTATTTTGCAAATATCGCCTGTTGCCTCAGCAGAAAAACTCACCCCAAACCATCACACTGCCTTATCCATGATTCATAGCAGGTGATATGCATTGAAGTAAGTATTTTTCACCTTTCTTCTGCTGGAAGTACAACCTATGCTTTGAACCAAATATTTCAAACTTGGACTCATCTGTCCATAACACCCCTTTCCAATTATCAATAGTCCAGTTTTTGTACTTTTTTAGCAACTTTCAGTCTCTTGACAATATGTGGAGATCGAAGTAAAGGTTTTGAAACTACTACACGACCAAATATTCTACTCTCGTTGAGTCTTCTTGATACTGTAGATCTGGACACTTTTCTGTCATTTGGTACATGGTCGTTTATCTTATGCTTGAGACAAGTGGCAGTCTTCCTTCTGTTCCAAAGGCTGAATATGTGAAGATACTTAGCATCAGTATCATTGAGTTTAGCTGTTCTGCCTCTTCCTTTCCTATTTTCCAATTTACTTGTCTCGGTCTCATGATCTAGGGTGTAGTTGACAGCGTTTGTGGAGCATTTCAAGTCTGCAGCTTTTATGCAAACTCTCTGCTCTACTGACAATTCTCTACGCTTTTTGGGCAGTGGCATAGCAACCAAATTTAATATATAGTGTTAAACACTGTTTTTATCAAGATTCATTCGTGGAGTGCTATTAAATTGATTTCTTCTACCACATGCTAGCTCCTTGCTAGCTTCTTTCTATATAGTTAAGACACTTCATGGGGTACCATGACAGTTATTTCAAACCCTAAATTTGATCAGTATGTTCATTCAAGCAGAACCCTTATGACATGCCCTTGGTACAAATATATAGGAATTCTAAATAATGATAAGCATTCTCACCCTGGCTCATTCAGTTGTCAACAGAGATCAGTGAAGCATTACCATGGTGTTGAAATTACATTCTGTAATGGCATGGGAGAATTAGTCCAATAAAATGGAAAGAATGATAAAAAATTTTCTCTTGTCCTAACACTTTTGCAATTATCCATCACTTTATGTATAAATGACTTAGGTAATTCATTTTTATAGTTTTCACTTCTATATTTAAATTGCATGACATACTTTTTGCATTGTCTAAAGTTTTATATGTAAAACATTGTTAACTGATTTCTATGAACGTTCTATGTCACATTAAATTTTGATCTTTAAAAAGTTAGCTTGGCCGGTGGAGATATGTTGGAAGCCTTTAATATATTCTTTAATTCAACCTCATGAAGTCATTGATAGCCAACTGGAAGAAAAATAACAGTTTACTTGAAAAGTATAGCATCTATTCACTGTGAAAAGAATGTTTATTTAAATCTCTAAATAATATACAATAATTTCATGTTTACCTTTATAAGTTGGTTTGTTTTGCTAAAGTTTAAAGGATCTATGTCAACAGTTATGTTTAACCATTACTATTGTTACCCTTCTGTAGGTATTTTCACAAACATTTGTCTAGAGCCTGTTTCTCGTTACATATAAACTCGATAAGTAATGTTCTTACCATTTCGAAAAATGAACATTTAATACATTTAGGTCACTCTTTCAATTATATTGCTGACATATTCGCCTAAGGCTACGACCCCAATCAGTGTATCTAAGCTTTCGAACTTCAAGACTGTTGACAGTCTAAACAAACAAAATGGGTCATTGAGTGTATGACAGGGGAGGTCTTCACATGGTCAAATAACCAGTCCCCTCTTAAAATTGGCAGAATTTGAATTACCAAGGTATGTATTTTTAGTAAAATATATTATTTCTAGTTTGTAATGATATATACGAGACTAAAGCCATGTCACTTTCAAACATCTATGTTAAATATTTGTTCATAAATCAGAAATTCTATTACACTTTAACAATTAATCTTAATAGTTCACCAAAGCATCAGTTACATTTTTCACAAATGAACATAGTTTATAGCTGAAAAAGAATTGGCAATCATAATTTTAAAATAACCTTTAATTATAAATCAAGTGATTATTCTTTGAAGTTTTATAAATCCAGCATATTTACTCTTTATCAATACAGAATATACTTTACAGGAACAATGTAAAAGCAAGACTTGACGAGCATACTGAAATGTTTATTAACTTCAAGATACAGTAATATATGTGAACATCTTAACTTATAAAATACTGAATTAGCTTTCATACAACTTTTGTACATTATGTTCATATTACTGTTTCAGCTAGAGTTTATATTTTCCAAATTTGTAACATTATGTGAAAAAACATTGAATTTTTCACGAGACATCATACTAAAGACATGTTTCTCAATAAAAAACTAACAAAGGATCTAAACATGTGCATTATATTCAAACATAATTACTTGGTGATGACAGCAGTATTATTTGTTCACACTGCACGTTCAATCCATATGAGATTTCAGTTTGTAGGCTCAGAAAAACTATCTTACATTTCAAATATATTTCTCACATAGAATTTGAAACAATGTTTCAATAACATGAATTATCTTTTCACTTAAAAATTATACAAACTGTCAGTTATGAATCAATGCCAAGACTAAAAATCAAGTTTCAAATAATTACACATTTAGATTTGTCTTTCATGATGAATTACACCCCATGAATAACAGTTTCTGAGAAGTATGTTGGAACATTTAATATAAATCTGCTTTTATATTTTTCTTATGTTTCATCATAGTCAATTTGTAGTTGCTACATAAAACTCATGTTTCATCATAGCCAAATATGTTATCGTTAATGTATGTAAGTAAAATCACAGAGTTAATAAATATCACATATACTGAAACATTTGTTAACAAAAGTTCAAGATACACTAATATACTATGTATGTAAACATCTTACTTTATAAACTATAGACCTATATGTGTCTAGCTTAATGCCCCATGAATATCAGTTTCTAACAAGTATGTTTGAACAACTAATACAAGTCTCAATTTGTATTTGCTACATAAAACTCATGTTTCATCATAGCCCAATATGTTATCGTTAATGTGTGTATGTAAAAATCACAGAGTTAATAAATATCACATATACTGAAACATTTATCAACA